AGCCTGCTTTCTCATGCACTAACATATGACCTGGGCAGGGGACCACAACTGCCTGGGCCCTCCCGTATTGATCATTAATTACGAGCATCCACTATAGGTTTGTCTACAGCCTGATCTTATGAAAGCATTTTCTTAATTGAGGTTCCTTCCTCTCAAATAACTATAGCTGTGCTAAGCTGGCAAAAAACTAGCCAGTTGGGCTGGTGAGATGGCTCAGTGGTTAAGAGCACTGACTATTCTTCCAGAGGTCATAAGTTCAAATCCCAGCAACCACATGGTGGCTCACAACCATCTGTAATGAGATTCGATGCCCTCTTGTGGGGTGTCTGAAGACAGCTACAGTGTACTTACATATAATAAATAAATAAAAATTTAAAAAAAAACTAGCCAGCAAACCCCAAAACTGCATACATCTGAATACATGTATATGTCCCAACATATAAACATTGTCAGGAAATACACATATATGAACACATGCCTATACACTGACATTTTTCATAAAGGACTGCATGTAGGTAGACATGCACATATATACCAAAATATGCTCAACACTCAGGAACTATATCTGTGCCACTACGTGACTGTTCTTGGGAACTGTATACATGTGAACACTGCATATGCACTCACATGTGACATGTGTGAACATTTGCATATGCACCAACATAGTCCCTTGATCAGGAATAGTAAGCATGTGAACACACACATATGCTCTAACATATGACCTACTCATGCTCAGAACTACACGTGACCACATGCATATATACCAACATATGTCCAGGCTCAGGATTTTCATGCATGTGAACATATGCATATATGCCAACAAATGACCCTGCTCAGGAACTGCATATGTGTGATTATGCAATGCACCACCATGTGGCCATGCTTGAGAATTGCAGATATGTGAACATAATCATATGCACTGGCATGTTACCTTGCTCAGGAATTGTACATGTGTGAATATCACATATGTGCTAATATGTGCTAACATGTAACCACAGTTAAAACTGCCTGCACATGAACATTCACGAATACCACAGCATATTCCCACCATCCAGAACTGCATAAAACAGGCCAGGCATGGTGGTACACACCTGTATTCCTACCACTCAGAAGGCAGAAACTGGCAGAAGTCTACGGTCTACAGAGAGAGTTTGAGGATAGCTAGGACTACATGGAGAAACTGTCTCAAACAAAACAAAAAGACAAAAGAAAAAAAACAGAACAGCATGCAAGTGAACATGTGTATAAAAACCAATACATAACTGAACTTGAGAACTACATGATTGTAAAACATGTGTATATATATTGACATATGTCCACATATGGAACTGCACATAAGTGAATATGCATATATCACAAACATGTGATTGTGCTAGAAAAGAACACACATATGAATGAACATGCATATATGTGCTAACATGAACATATTCAGGAAATATATGTATATGAACACATGAATATATACCAACATGTGGCCACACTTATAACTTGCATGCATGTAAGTATGTGCATATGTGGCAATATGTACCACACTGGGAACTGCATGAATGTATGTACATGTATGTAAATATTCTAAAAACTTAATGCTTGTAAACACACAAATTTGAAGACATGTGACCATACTCAGAAGTGCACATGTGGAAACATGCACATAAATGCCATGTGACCTCTCAGAAGTTACACACCTGCCAGCACATGCATATGTGTCTGTTGGGCTGTAGCATGCGAGGCCATGGGTCCTGTAGTGTTGAACTGTGAGTCCTGCGTCTGCCGCCCCCAAGGGGCTAGGGCTATGGCTCAGAGATGCAGTGGTGCAGGAATTTGACTGAGTTCACTCCATGCCAGTGCAGGTGGACGCCAGGCTGTGAGAAGATGCAGGACTCCACTCCAGGGGTGGAAGGACACAGTCTGACCCCGAGGGTCAGACTTGATCCTCAGCTATTGAGTTGGGGATTCCTGGGCCAGGAGGCAACTGGGAACTGGTTGGTTCTCAGGCCCTTGGGCTCTCAGGTGATCCTGAGAGGCCATGAAGGGCTGAAATGGGGACATATGGGCTAGATCGACCTGCATCCAAAGCGGGAAAGGGAAGAAGCTCTGGCTGCGTCCTGCAGGAGTGAGACTCTTGGTGACAGTGACTCGACTCGCTTGGCTGGGTCATGGCTGGCTCAGCTCAATTGCTTGAGTTAGTGGCCTCCGTGGCTGGAACGCAGAGAAGTCCTCAGCAGGAGATTAGAAGATGGCTCAGTAGTTGAAGACCTTCTTCACGGTTCCCCACAGCCAGCCCCAAAAAAGAGAGATAGTCCATGGTCTTAAAATGTTTACTGTCATGGCAGAAAATGGATGAAGCTATACCCCCGGTATTCTTAGGGTGGGCCTGAGGTTAAATACCTTTTGCAAAGAGGAGTATCTGGAAAGGAATGCTTAATTGGTTATCCTCTCTGGCCTTTAGGTGTCTCATTAATATTGAGATCTGTTTTGAGGCTCTGTGGTCTGTAGTCACATCCTCTACCTGTGGAGGGGCTAATAGGGGTGCTGTCTTACATGACTGATGGCCACAGACCTCGGCTGTAGCTATGTGAAAGGAGCCAGGGGCCTAGGAGCAAGGCCAAACTCCTATCGTCCATGAGGGTCTCCAGGTTTCAAAGCCTGCTCAACCAGGTACCCAGCTGCCTCTCACAGCCCACTGTCCCACATGTGTCAACATGTGATCACTCTCAGAACTTACACAAATGTTAAAATGTACATATGTGCTAACATGTGACCAAATTTGGAATTTCCATGTGTGTCAACATGTACATATTTGCAACATGACCAGGCTCAGAACTTACACAGGTATCAAAATGTACATACATGCTGACATGTGACCATGCTTAGAACTGAATACATGTAAACACACACATTTGCCAAGACATGTGTCTGTACACATGTGAACATGTATGTTGACATGTGACCTCCCTCATAAGTAACACATATCAATACACACATATACACTGACATGTATTTGCTCTTGGCACCTGCATCTGTGTAAAACTATATGCTCTATCCTAGTTGAGAGGTAGCTTCTCTGCAGTACTAAACATGGATCATGTACTGCCAGGAAACCTCTCTGTAATACCCAATCCTATTACCCCACAGAGAAGGTAAGTCTTAAGGCAACTTCCAGTCATGACTAAAAAGACAGTAGTGGAAAGTCATACCTTACAGTTAGGAGACTCAGGTATCTATTGATAAATAATCACCAAAGCATGCTGAGGTGTGTGTAAATCAAGTAATCTCAGTGAAGAAACTTGTGGAATCTATTCAGCAGAGGTGACACAGACAAGTCAAATGAAGAAAGCCTAAAACAACAAAAACATTGCTGTAATTTTAGCCTAGCTTAAGTACTTGCAGACTATTAGTAATGCATAGTCCAGTAATATAAAAGTACCTTGGCATAGAAGAAAACAAAAGGCTTCTGGCTGGCTAGGGGAATTCTTATAGAGTCAAATTTGCTCATGGTAACAATGCCAGACCTGTTCCTGTCACTTGGCTCTATTGAAAGTATTCAATATTAATTTAATAAGACTATGTCTATTTCTGTGTTACTGTCTTTTCAATTGCTATCAAGTGTGGAAGGTCAACAGTTAGGAACTAAACTGACAATACAGTAATATAAAAGCATAAGTTTTGAAATCTGATTGAAATTTGGAAATTGTACATTCCTTTTCACATGCTGTATACTTGCCGAGCTTCTGGGCTGGTAAGTCAAAGGAGGTTCTTACTAGTCACATTCATCCTGGAAATTCAGAGGTCCATGAGCTAGGCACTAAGGAACCACAAAAGAGGAAGCCACAGACAGGGAGCCAGTACACATAGCAGCATCTTTCATTACCCCACCAGCCATGAACACACACTACTTTACTATTCATTCCTCCCTGGCATTCAACAACTGGAAGACCTATACAAACTAGGAGGCAAATGACACAATAAAGGTCATTGTTACTGGTTTCTGAATATGTGAGTGTCTTAGTTATTGTTCTATTGCTATGAAGAGATACTAAGACCAAGGCAACCCTATAAAAGAAAGCATTTAGCTGGGGGATGGCTTACGGTTCAGAGGTTTAGTCCATTATCATCAAGGTGGGAAGCATGGCAGTGTGAGGCAGGCATGGTGCTGGAGAAGGAACTGAAACAGACAAGCATGGCACCAGAGCAGTAGTTAAGAGCTTTATATCCTGATCCACAGGCAGAGAAAGTAAGCAAGACAGGCTGGCATAGGCTTCTGAAACCTTAAAGCCCACCCCCCAGTGACACACCTCCTCCAACAAGGCCACACCTCTTAATCTTTACCAAACAGTTCTATTACCTGGGGACCAAGCATTTAAACATACAGCCTAATGGGGCCACTCTTTCAAACCACCACAGATGTATCTTGTTCCTTTATTGGTTTCTGAGGCGTCTCTAAGCTCCTTTCCTCACTTCTAGGTTGTAGGGGTCCAGTCTGCTGACTGCCAACTGGTGCTGCCCTAAAGAGCAAATACTGTCATGGAAGAGCACACCAACTGGTTATCCAGTGTCGTAATGTCAGCCCTGAAAACATATATACAAGTAACATTGCACAGAGTGAACAGGAGATATATAATACATGCATACAATAACAATTGAGAGCAAAAGAGGCCATAAATGTAAAAGAGAGCAGGGAGGAGTATATATGAATCTTTGGAGGAAGGAAAGGGAAGCAAGGAATGGTGTAATTAAAATAAGCAAGCAAACACACAAAAAGATCTCAAAGTAAGGCAAATAAAACAAAAACCCTTAAAAAAATCAAAATATTGTCTTTATCACACACGCTCATGTGCATACACAACCACCATACACTGCATATGTGTGCATGAAAAGACACACACACGTGAGAGAAATGAGCCTCTCACAATAACCACGTGTACACAGAAACCATATGGATAAGCACTGGAGACGCTCACTTAAACTGTTACTCATATCAGTAAAGAAAGCAGGCCAGCTTTGTTGGAATCTGGGCTTTAATTATGTACATAAATAGTGATATAAGAATGAGGAGTTCTAAGGCTTGTACATTATTTCCATGTGAAAGATTGTAGATTAGTTGGCCTGTAATATGGCATCACCCAAAACAGCAAAAAGGCTTAGTGTTGTTTTTCCTGAAGAAAGCCAGTTTACTATATCCAATACTGATTCTGCCATTTGTCTGTAGAAATACTGATTTACCGTCTGGAGTTTCCAATGTTTATCTATAACTAAAAGAAAAAAAAGAAAAATATAAGTTAAGTGTACCCAGGAAAATAAAAATGACTCTAAAATTATGCATTTTGAAATTTAGTCTTAAACAATATCATTTTACATTACTATTCCATTGCCATAAAGAGAATGAGCTAGAGAACACTGTAGATGCTCCAGATGAGTGAACCAAAACTGAGGATGTAGTCCATCCACAGTATATTCAGACTTTCAACTGGCTGAGTACTCAAGAATACTGAGGTAGGTGGATGATGCCAAGTACATGCCTAAATGGTACAGCAAATACTATGAACCTCTTGCCCTCTGAAGACCAAGACATGTGTGAGCAGGAGGAGAATGTAATTACATGATCCTCAGACAGCTAGATGTCTTTCCTCACACCTTCCTTTACCTCATATCCTTTCTTCCAAGAATAAAACACACAAATGCACACATCAAAGCCAAGCTTAATCTTCTCCAGATTGTCTTTTCCTTCATATTTGATGAACGTGCTCCACAACTGGAAGTTTATAAACATTTTTGTGTGCTGGGAATTAATCCCAGGGCCTCACACATGTTAAGCAAGTTCTCTAGCACTGAGCATATAGCCCCAATATCTTAGAAGCCAGTGAGTGACTATTCACTTGATGTTTTAATATAAAATTAAAAATTATCTAAAAAAGCAAACAACTAGCTAATTGTTCTCTCTCAGTTTTTTTTTTTTTGCCTCTCTAAGAATTTAATAGATTTACTGTTTTGTTAAACAGTGGAAGCAACCTATATTAACAAGGATTAAGTAAGCAATGGTACAGAGAGGTTCCATCCAGGACTAATGGAAACAGATGTAGAGACCCACAGCCAACCATTGGGCAGAACTCAGTGAATCCTGTGGAAGAAGGGGAGGAAGGATTATAGGAGCCAGAAGAGTCAAGGACACCACAAGAAAACCTACAGAATCAACAAACCTGAACTCATAGATGCTCACTGAAGACTGAACCAAAAATCAGGGCCTGCATGGGTTTGATCTAGGCCCTCTGCATATGTTATAGCTATGTAGCTCTCTCTTCTTGTGGGACTCCCAACAGTGAGTGTCATGTTTGGCTGATATCCCTGGGAGACCTGCCCTTTTCTGAAAAGAAATGGAGTAGGCATGGATGGGGAGAGGAGTTACCAGGGAAGGTCTGGGAGGAGAAGGAGGAAAACTACAATTGGGATGTAACATATGAGAGAATAAATTAAAAATAAAAAAATTAAAAGTAAGCCATGGTAAAAGTATAAACTAGGGACTAGCTACATAAATAAAAAAGGGGCAAAATGAATCTACAAATACTAACAGAGAATAAACACAGAAAATTAAGCTGAAGAAACATCTTCATTCATTTCTTCAACATGTCTATGAGGTATTTTAACGAAAACTGGAGGCTAAGCCTGATCAAGCCTTTACATCCAACAGGAAATACAGAGAAGAAAGAATGGAGGAGACGTGGAGTTCACACTAAATGGATAAATTTAGACACCACCTGAACATGGTAAACTGAAGACCAAAAACACCAAGTTTTACAATGAATAAATTAAAAATAGGAAAATACTACATTTAAAAGACAATTAAGAGACTTCCTCACTAAAATGTGAGAGACAGTTTGAGTCCTGGTTCAAATAAACCAACTACAAAGTTACTACTGACAAGCCAGTGTGGCTTTATCCCCAGAAGTCAGGAAGCTGAGGCAGAAAGATCATAAGTCCAAGACCTGCATGGACCACAAAGTAAGGCTATGTCTCAAAAACAACAATAAAGGTATTGCTGAGACAAACAGGAAAATCTGTACACTATTATTAGAGAGTATTAAGGAATTACTTTTAGTTTCTTTTGGTATGATGATAAAATTATACATACCTTCATGGAGTTTTCTGTGTACTTGTAGAATGATATAAAGAAAATGATCTCATTTTGTCAAAAAATCAATAGCATGCAAATGTGTACTATCTATTTAAATACATAGATACTAAAAAGTCTAATGTACCAAATAAGGAACAGAAACTATCTCTGGGAAAGGAAAAATGACCAGGCAAGTTTTTTAAATGTTTAGTTAGGCCTGGGGTATATTCAGAGATAGAGTGCTTGTCTACCATGTGGAAAGCCCCAGGTTCTAGCCCTACCTTCCAAAAAGAAAGCTACAAATAGCATACACTGTTTTTATTTTATTTGTGCACAGTATGTACATATGTGTATGTATGCATTCACATGCATGTGTGCATGTAGGTACCCATGGACCTATTGGCAAGAGGTTGACCTTGGCTATCTTCCTTAATCACTCCCTACCTTAATTTTGAGACAGGGTCACTCAATGAACCTTGAGCTCATTGATTTGGCTAGATTAACCAGCCATCATCCTTTAAGAATCTATTCATCTCCTCCTCCCCAGTGCTGGGATTATAGGCACATGCTACCATACCTAGCTGTTTACATGAGTGCTGGGAATCCAAATTTGGGTCCTCTTGCTTCCATGGCAAGCATTTTGTTGACTGATCCATCTACCTAGCCCCCTATTGCTTTTATAATTAAAAATTATACCACCAATAAAGTTCTAAAACTTCAGGAATAAAAATTGAGGTTGTATATACAGTGAGTTGAAACCTGGTCTAGAATATCTCTCAACACTGAGATGGATATCTACTTTTTCTTTGTTAGGTCTTGCCCCTGTAGAGAAATACAAACACAGTCTATGTAAAGTCTCTAAAGGACTTGTATGGCTCTCTGGAAGTTCACTTTCTAGTCTCCCTTCTATTGCTATCCCCAGAAATACTGATTCTGGGGTGGAGCCTGGGCCTCTGCCTTTTAACAAGATCTTGTTGTCAGTTACTAAATTATTTGTGCAACAGCAGAGAACTACTGACTTTGTATTAGTATAAATGTCAAAGTGGAACTGGATTTGCTCTCTGTGACCCGTCAACCAGAATTAGGACCGCCCTAGGAGTCACAAGAAAATATATTTGCTTACTTAAGCAAAAGCTTCCTAAAATATCAGAACTGCCCAAAGACAGCTGCCATGTGAGGTATTTCCTTCCTAACAATGGAGATGTAAAAGGGGGTGACAGGAAGAGGATGAGGGGATTCTGCTGGAGGCTGATGGTTGCACTGGACAGTCTCAAATTCCAAATGATATGACTCTCTGGCTCTCTAAAAACATGAAGATAGTTGAGAAAGAAAAACTTCAAACTCGAGAGTTTTGTGAATTTTAAATAGTACCTGTAATACACAACGTTTTAAGATAGGCTGAAATTGCAGTTCACTGGTAGAATTCTTGTCATGCATGTATGAAGCCTTGGGTTCAATCCTCAATCACACACACACACACACACAAACAGGCATAAAAGAAAACTCATATTCATTGCAGGAAATGTGAAAAAGTATAAAGTTACAAATAAAAATATACATTTAAATTTTCTGTTATACCTTCTGGTCTAACAAAATATCATATTGCGTTTCTTCTCTATTTAATAATTGTGGCCCTGAGCCTGTCATCCTAGCTACTCAGAAGCTGAAGCTGAAAGATCAAAAATATAAGGCCAGTCCAGGCAACTTTACAAAAAAGATTTAGAAAATAAAAAGGCAAGTAAGGGCTATGAGGATAGCTTGAGGGTGGATAATGTGCTTGCCTAGCATGTAGCTCAATCCCAGTACCACAAAAAAAGGAATTTGTATATCCTCCCATGCAATTAAGTATGATTGAAACAATAATAATCCTCTTTATAGATATATAACTAAACTACTTTCACGCAGCTGAATATCTAGGTTAATTTTTAATTCCAATAATTCGCTAATTATCAGGAAATCATAAGGTCTATTACACAGTTTTAACATATAAACAAAATAGTAATATAATTAATGTTTTTTTACTTAGCAGGCGCTTTGTAAATAAATATTAAGCAAACAGATGAAGAGTAATAGTATACTGAACATAAGACCAAAAGAAATTACATTGAGTTTCTAATCTGTCTGGTTCTAACTTATCTAAAAAACCTTGTGTTTCAAAAAGAAACACAAACAAATAAGCCATGGCACATAAAACCAGAAATTAAAGACAATAAATATGAGCCTTATATTTCCACATCAAGATGAAAATGCTATATAATTATTAGCTAATTAACAATAAATTATTTCACCTAGCATGAACAATGCTGAAAATTACCAGAATTTTGTTGTTGTTATTGTTGTTGTTTTTATTCTTTACCTGATTAAAATGGGCAGAGTACGGAGTTTTCTATTTATTTCCAGGTGAATTCTTCACATTTCCTGGCTTGTAAAACAAAATTGAGAGTTTTTAATACAAGCTGAAACATTGCAAAGTATCTTCAGTATTTGGCAGAATAGAAACATGAAATATTATTATTTTCTTGGGAGATGGTTAAGCCATTTTATTGAGGTAGGGTGTCAAAGAAAGGCCTGGGAGATACCAAATTCTTAGCTGGGGTTGCAGTTAGAGATATTAAAGGTGGTAATAAAAAAGGATGACACATTTCTCAGTAAGGTGAAAGGATTAGTCAGTTTCCTTCAGTGCCCTGTTGTGGAAAGTAACTTGGGCACAGAAAACAGAAAAAAAGCTACAGTAATTCTTATTCTATAGATTCAGCCAAACCGTTGATTTCATAAAAACAAAATCAAGTCAATAGTGAAAAGATTTCTTAGTTCCAAGAAGTTAGATTTATTACTACATGCCACTATCACTGCTGTAGAGGGCTTGACAGACATAAGAAAGCTTCTTGCATTAACAAGGGCCAAATCATTAAACATAGACTCTCAAAGAGGTTTAAATTGGACCACACTGATTCTGCCTGGCCACCCTTGAGGAACATATAATCAGGTCATGTCATCCATGAGAAGTGTAGAAAAGTTTCCAGTAAGGAAAATGCACACGTCAAGGCTTTCCTTTCCTTTATGTTTTTAAGACTTAAATTCTGAAATTTTATTAATAAGATCTCCTTGGATATCAAAGATCGAAACTCATGAACTAGCAGCCTGAAGAAGGTTGCAGCTGGATAGGCCGTGAGACTGTGCTTCTGTAGACTAGACTGAGTGCAGGAGTCCCTGGTGGCCTCTCTCTCTCTCATCAGCACTCATGGGTGAAGGGATGAGAAAGCAAGAACATGTGACTGTCACTGCTCAGCATGGCTTCTAGAGAATTGTAAAGTCTATTGGAGTGGTTCAGAACTATTTTCTATGTACTGCTTTATTCCCATTATACCAACATAATTAACTCTGCCATCTCTTATTCACAAGAGGATCCTAGTTTGGATGATAATCTAATTCGATGGCCACCCTATCTACATACCACATCACTTTATGATGGAGTTCTGGGGAACAAGACTACATGCATTGTGTGGTAGTTCAACATAAAATGCAGACCCTGACTGATGGGACTCTACAAGACTTAGTACTAGTGCTGCTCCTTTCCAGAATGGTCACTCCTCACCCCAGCCCTGCCCCAAATGTACACACATGTGAACACATACCTCATCACAGCCCATTGGGCCTTTCTGCTGTTACTCAAGTTTGCCAAGCTGCTTTGTGAGACATCATTTTTATAAAAATGTACTCCTTGTCCCTAAACTAGTCAATCTCAAATGTTTGCCTGGCAAAACACTCCTTCATCTTTTTCTCAAGATTTTCTTTGTACTTTGCCCTTCAATTTAGGTTGTATTAGAACCTTGATTCATTTTCACTATTCCCATCTTCCTTCCGATTTGTATTATTTCCTTCATGTGTGAGTCTTTTATTTTTTATTAACCTTATGAGTTTCATAATCTTTATGAGCACATACTAGCTCCTGAACCTCCCACCACACAGCATTCAAATGTTTGGTGAATAAACAAATGGAATAATGTAGAAATTAAGGATCTAGTGAGAACTAGTACCAAGCATGGTATTACAAACCTCTAATCCAAGCACTTGAGAGGTAGAAGAAAGAAGACTATGAGGTTATGGCCAGTCTGGTCAACATACACAGTTTCAAAAAAAGGAAGGTTGGGTGACTGATTCTTTTTTTTAAAATTTTTAATTGGATATTTTATTTATTTACATTTCAGATGTCATCCTCTTTCCCCTTTTTCCCTCCCTAGAAACCCCTATCCCATCCCCCTCCTTCTTTTTGTTTTTATACCATTTTGATTAAATGCATGTATTAAGGTCAGTTCTAAGTTGAGGAACTAGCAATACAATAGATGCAAATTAGTTAAGGAACAATCAAGACAATAAACACAAATAGTCAAAGAATAAGCAAGGCAATAAACAAAGTCCTGTGAGCACTACCATGATCACTGTTTCTAAGAGTTTATCAGGATGACCAAAATATCTGAGCCTTCTTCCCTGTCCTAGCCCCAAGGTCATTTCCATGTCTGAAGCCTACTTCCTTGCTCTAGTCTAAAATTTAGATTCCTGTCTGAAATTACTTCTTTGTTCTAGTCTAAGATTTAGGTTCCTACCTGAGACTACTTCTTTGTTCTGGTCTAATATTTAGGTTCCTACCTGAAATTACATCTGTGTTCTAGCCTAATGTCAGATTCCTACCTAAAGCCTACTTCCTTGTCCTTGGCCAATGTCATATTCCTGCCAAGCAGCCCATTTCCTTGTCCTTGGCCCATGTCAGATTCTTGCTTTTTAAAAAAGACAGAAAAAGGCTACGAAAGTAAGATAACCATAGCTGACTACTGGGTCTGCCATAAAAGCAATGTGACTTCCCACCTAACTAACTGCATTTACATTTCAATTAATTTACTAATTGCCAAGTATATCTAATGATATTCTTAGATATTCTGCTATCTATACTTACCTGTCTCTCAACCTCAAAAATAAGATGTCAAATTTACAACTTTTCAAAAAAAATAATTCAGATGAAGAAAATAGGCAGACAAAGCATTCCATTGTACTGATTAAGAAAACCAGCTCTATTGCCAAGAATATGGCTGTATTTAGATACATGTCACTTATAGCAAAACAAATCAGAACCAATATCTCACTACAAAAATACTGGGCACACCCACTCACGACATTATAAATTAAGAGCTGTCTTGAAACAGCACCATGATCTCAAAGGAAACAACATTCTCACAGGCCAAAAATCTGTTTGCATTTTTAAAGAAAGTTTTCGAAAAAATTTCCCTATAGTCTAATTTTAATGCACTTTTTAGCATATCTTTACCATGTCTATGAACACAAATAATTTGTTAGCACAACTAAACCATTTTCAAAAAATCAACACATTGGTTCTTAATTACTATGCACTGTTATGTAAAGGGGATAGCCAGTCTGATGATTAATCTTTATTGTCAACTTAACTGGATTTGGAATCACCTAGGAGACACAGGTGTGTCTGTAAGAGTGCTTCCAGAGAGGTTTAACTGAGGAAGACCTACCCTGAGTGTGGGTAGCATCATCCCATGGTTATGGTCTCAGGTTCCAGACTAAACATAAAACAGAAAGTGACTGGACCACCAACATTCCCTGCTCACAACATTCCCTGCTCTCTGCTTCCTGTTCTATTGAGATGTGAGGAAATGAGAAGTCACAGCTGATAGCCATTTCTATCACCATGCCTTTCCAACCATGATGGACTAGGCCTTCAAACCAAGAACCAAAATAAACTCTCCCTCCCTTAAGGTACCCCTTATCAGGTACTTGATCTCAGTAACAAGTAACTAATGCAGCTAGCCAACCAGTGGAAGAATTGCATCCTCCTAAAATGTGAGAGTAGTAGGTCTAGACACAGCTTACTATGCAGGCATGAATCTGTGAGTTTGATTCCCAAACTACATATTTTTTTAAAAAAATACAGACATAGTGGTACTTGCTTGTAATCTCAGAAGTAGGGAGGTGTTTCAGAGGCCAGCCAGCCTAGCCTACTTGGAAAGTCCCAGACCAGTGAGAAACCCAGTCCCAAATTAAAACAAAACAAATAAAACAGCACTAGAGGAATGGCACAGTCTATACTCTGCTTGTGCGAGAGCACACACACAGACACATACACACACACACACAATGTTAGGTCCTGAACTATTTCCAGCAATTACCTAACTCTTCCACCATACCATTTCATTACTTATAAAATGGAGGTAATAAAATCTGACAGACTCCTGAGTAAAGAGTATGCTAAACTAAGCTAAATAAATGTGACCTACTCTGTATGATAGGTCACTTCTTTTAAATAAAAAGTAGCTAGTAAATGGGACCAGCCTAAATGCCTATAGTAGATGAAGAGACAAAGAAAATGTGGTATATATCCTTAGTGGTTAGATTATAAATATTTTTTTATATTTGTTGAGGAAAATTTGTATTTGCAGAAAATGGATACAACTGAAGATTATTAAGCAAAATAAGCCAGACTAGGAAAGACATAATGTATGTTTTCTTTCATGTGGCTCCTAGATTTTAATGTGTATGTGTATATATACATGTCTGTGTAAAACTAGAAAGTGAACTATGAGAGGGGAAGAAGAGGTCTTTAGAGAGAAGGGGGGGTACTAAAATATATCTGGTATATAAGGGGGTTTACTGTGTGGAAAGAAAAGGCTTAAAGAGGAGCTAGGGAGTGAGAGAGAGGTGTGAGGAAGGAGAATCAAAGAGAACAAAGTATGGAAATACCAGAACAGATTCCATTATTTTGTATGCAAATGGAAGAAAACAATGTAAAAGTATAAAATAAATAGGTGTGGTCAGATGACTTGTTAAAGAACATAACAAAATTTCAGTTCACTAGAATGTGATAGGCAGAACAGTGGCTCCCAAAGATGTCTGTGTCTGAGAACCGGACACTGTACCAGATGAAGCATGGGCCAGAATTACCTTGGACTGTGTGAATGGGTCCAGATGAATTTGAAGAGTTAATAGAGACTAAGAAGGGGACAAAAGAAGGGGATCAGAAAGAAGAGACTTAAAGAAGACCTGTGTTGCTGGTTTTAAAGACAAAGGAAAGGGTCAGCCTTACTTGCCCAGCAGAAAAACAGACCTTGGTTTACGACAGCAGGAACTAAATAAAGTCTGTCAGCCTCAATGAACAGGAAATTCTGTTCAAGGGTCTCTGGAGAGGAATGCAACCCTGCTGACGTCTTGATTTCGTACTCTACTTCTGACCTACTGTGCAAAGACAGTCAATCTGTACTGTGTTCAGCTTGAGTATATTTATTTGTTTCAGAGGCAATAGGAGACAATATTGTATTGTAGACTTCAAAATCTGTTAAGAGCCAAGAGTATTACTTAGTGGTAGAACGCTTATCTAGCATGCATACAGCCAGTATGACATAATAG